ACCCAGAAAATGCCATGCAAATGAAATGCAGTCTCCCTTCGGGCTCCTATAAATTCACTCCCCACGCATCAGATCAGCACTGTAATATCAGCATGCAGAGATTCGGCCACTGCGACGATCCATGAGAATTGCCATGCCGATGTCATGCAGTTTCCCTCCGGCTCGCATGAATTCCCATGCATAAAATCCACACTGTACGATGTCCTCAAGCAGGGTAACAAATGGGAGTATATGCCACTGAATATTCTCGGCCCGCTGTTGGCATGCAGAATTCTCGCCGTGCTGGTTGCGGCCGTGGGCCTCTAATGCTTGCAGTGAATTCCGCGTGCTTTACCACAAAGTCAGCATTTCGCGTTCTGCTTCAGGGGTGATGTTCTGCACAAATAGCGCCTGATTTTAGTTTAGGGGTTCACAAGGACAGTAAGTGGATCTGTAGGGTTGTATAAAGATTCATGGGGGCTTATACCGAGTTGACAAAGCTTGAGACTGTCATTCAGCATTTTGGGTCTGCTGGGGCCCCTATTTTCTGAACTCCCGTATGGGCTGTAAGGCGGGCTTTTGACAAGGTTGTGCCATCCCTTCGTCCTGCTATCTGGTGCTGCATCAAGTTAACTGTTCATTGCGTCCACTATCCGTCCGCTTTTGGTAGCCCGGGTTTGTGCGCACAAATTTTTATTGTTTCTGGGATGTGCAAGGTGATGGTTTGTCGTACGGCCTTCGACGGGCTTGTCATGACGGGTGCGGGGGAGTATGAGTTGGGTGAAATTATAGCTCTATCATCTGAAACGCTGCGATTTCAAGCGCCAGCGTGTAATAGACCTAGACTGCATACCTAGGGGGACTTGAACTGCCTCCCTGAAACTGACACGGACGGATGGCCTACGCGGAATCGAATTTTATTGCGGCAACAGTGGAGGGGATTGAGCAGGAATTTCGGGCGCCCATTTGTGAGTGTGCGCCATCTGTTCCTGTCATAATACAGTTCAGTAATGAAGAGTCTTAAATCCGAATGAACTTGGAAGATGCGTGTGCTCGTCCTAATTGAAAATGCAGCAAGACCCCGGGCCAGGCAACAGACCTCTGGCAGGACCAAAATGACAATTGCGGCTGGGCTGGGAGTGCTATGTGAGAAAGCACGGGGCCTGCAAGGAGAAGTCGGCTTCCTTCATGGACTGCACGAACCTGAAGGAATGCTTTGCCCCCCGGGAGCTCGCAACTCCGACGGGAAGGCGGGAAGAGATCAGTTTACAGGCTGCCCTCAGCTCCTCGGAAACAGCAGACGTACATAACCGTACATATTACTGACCATGTTAAGGATAATAGCCAGAAGCCCTCTGCGAAAACAGGCATTTGACATCCTCCGCGACATCGTACCACGGCTCTGGGCTGGCAAAGCCCAACCGATGTGTCGGGTTTAGGGGTTCGTAGGGCCTCGCATCTCTTTGTCATGCTATTCAGCAATCACGGCAAGAAGACCTCCACTAACACCAGACAGAACAAAATCTTGAAAGGCAATGTCTAATCAGTCTAAGCACGAACGAGTGTCGTTAAGAATGGGGTTCATAGAATTGAACAAGTGGTAGCTTGAAGGGATGTCCCTTTGTCTCTTATCAGAAGGATCCTCCCTCTTAGGGTCCGTGTTGGTGTCCCTCATTTCTGAAGGCTCTCATCTATGAACGTCACGATGCCGAAAATTCGAGCAATCCGGCCTTGAAACCTCTGCACAGGAAGCACCTGAGATTCCAGCGCTAGGGCTGGGGCAGGGGCAAATGGCCTCGGGGCTCAACCCAGACCTGCCTCCCGGAGAACCATCCTGATGACCATTACCCCGCAGAAGTCTTGAATCTCGTTGCATGCTCAATCAAGGCGGTGAGAAACGGGAAGTTGCAAAACAAGAGTGTGTTCCTCTACCTCTCTCGCTCTCTGTCTAGCCCCCGAAGGTCGCAGATGCCAAACATCTGAACCCAGGAAAGTCGAAGCCAAGAGCCGCGTAACACGAATCGGCCAGAACGTTTTGTCTCCACAAGACGAGGTCTCAGGCGGCCCAGCCATCATTTCACGGCTTGGACACTCTCGGGTCTATACTGCATGGGGCAGAAGCATTTTCGGTTCAAACCTTGGAGTTGAAACTCGAGATCTTCAGGCTTCTATCTATTCGCAGTCCGGACCAGCACACAGGGACTTCGTTCGGGCTGTTCGGAAGCTCCAGGCTTAGGTTCCAGTGTCTGAGGCCCCAGACTGTAGCAAAGCCTGCGTCGTTCATGTCAAAGCCATGCGTAACACGATGACCGCTGCAGAAAACCCTGCCCCTGCAGCATCCTGAGTCGCGAAAGCTTTCAGCTTCTAAGCCGTCGTTCTGACGAATTCGGTGCATGGTAGACAGCAGCGAAGAGGACCTCGAAAGAGGTTGGTCAAATCAAACGATTAGACTGTAAGCAGAGCATGGGGGTTCGAACTCTAAAGTGCTAAGATTGACAGGAAGCTGCCTTGGTCGCTGCCCAAGTCTTGCGGATGCCGAATCTATCGTGTTCGCAGCATGTCATAGGTGTTTGACGCACGAATGCAGGAACGTCACAGCGAGCAGCAAGATGTGCAGAGTGTGCGAAAGCTCTGCGCATCTCTGAGTTCAAGGGGCGACCAAGGGCCTCCCCAAAGGCCCTTCACCCGATAAGCAGAAGATCCTCAAGCCCTAAACTGGCCCTAAACCATGTCCAGGCCATCTTTTGCATAGCTTCCTGAACCGTACCCGAAGATCAGAGTTCAGCCCAGCCCTCGCCATGCCTTCGTTGGCCTAAGCTCCTCACCCAGCTGCTCGTGGGACACAATGATTTCGGCAGCTGCGGTGACAACATCTCGGCTCTGCCCAGCCCAAGCCTAAGTCTGGAACAAACCCGTCGAGTTTAGCACCAAGTTAGTGGCAAGCAAAACTGCAAGCAGTTGAGGCCTACAAATGACACATCGCGGGTGAGACACTGCGTGAGGAGGTGCATGGGTGGGCCATGAGCCTCGCAATGCAAGCAGCAATGGCAGAACTACGGGTATAAAGGACAACAGCAACCTGCCGAAAAAAACTTCGTGGGATGCCGAAAGCTGAGCCACCGAAAGTAGAGAGGGGCCAGCTCACCGTGATGTCACACCTGGGCTCTCAAAGTAGCCCCAAGGATTCCGGCACAAAGCTCTGCATAATACGCATGTAGATATTGTAGTTCAGCGCAGTACTGATTTTGATTCTAATGCAGGCCGCACATGGGAAAACACGTCTGGTTCACAAGAGATCGAAATGGCTCCACAAAGCCTACACTGAGTTGCAGTGACCTAGATGACTTGCAACATGCTGTGACACCGTGGGCCCCCATGTTCAAGCATCCGCGTCCAAACCCGGGTACTCTTCGTGTACATGCAAATGTATAAGCTTTATGGGCGTCGTCAAATCACTGCGGCGGATACGCGTCATACTGTATCCAATTACCTGGTTCACTGAAGGACTTCTAGCTGCGACTTCAACTTCCCGGTTTCAGCCAAATCAAACGCTTCAGCCAGCCTCTTTGCCCCCTTTGCCCCTGAGTAGCTCGGAGGATCCCTGCGTGGCACCACAGGTTTCACTTCGTGGCCAGGTAGTGCCTCAACTGCACAGCAACAAGGCTTCAAGAAGGTACCACTCACCCTGCCCCGTGCTTCCAAACATCTTGTCGAAACACTGAACACCGGCCTGCTATTGACATGTAACAGGCCTGCAGCCCGCCAGGTACAAGTAGCTCCCGACCGACCCAACGCACGAACAGCGAAGTTACTGAAGCCGGGGTGCTGGAGGCGGGCCGTTGCAGCAGGACAACGTCACCTTGCGCAAGGCTCCCAAAGGCTTTGTCAATGCCCTGCGTATATGCATGAACTGCCGAGCGTCCGACGCCGGAACCACAACCACGACTGATTAGCCGCTTGGGTTGGGCAACTTTGGGGCGAACAAACCCTACCCAAACACAGAGAACGCCCTCCAGCCTTCTCATGATTGGGACAGCACCTGCCAGCAAGACCTGCCGCGCGGCACCTGGGCATCCCCAGTTGAAGATATACTGCTGCCCGCCAGCCCGCAAGCTAAACTGCCATTATGCCCTTTTTTAAAGTGCAGGCCGCACTTGCTCGACGTGTGTTAAATTCCGGCATGGCCGTCACTAACAAAGCTCCAAGTAAGTGGACCTTTGGAAGGAGTTGCTGGACGGCCAGCACCAAAGCGGGGTCATACGAGAAATTATTCGGGCTGCTAGTTTACCCAGCAGGTCAGGACCCAGCTCCTTGTGGAGGGAGTGGTCCACAACTCGCATGTTGTCCCACCAGGCCACATTAAAGCCGAGTCTCGCGGGGTAAGCATCACAACTAGTTCCATTGACCCCCTTGTAGGCGCCGATGTCCTGAAGTTCCAGCTCTAACGTAACGGGATGTCTAGGGCTTGCAGAGTCCTGAGCCCTCAACCGCGAGGCTGTACACATAACAAGGAACCTCTGCTCACGACTCAGTGTCTGCCTGAAGTAAACCACCGCAAGGCAATTGCCGCGGTTCTCCTGATCTGGAAACAATTTCATCATGGCTCCGACTAGTATCACTTGGTGATCCCGGCGAAACTCCTTACGAAAGCTGATGCTAAGCTCTTTTCGATCGTCAGCACTCTCGAGGGCCAGGTCTGTGGCCTGACCCTCGCAATTTCGGATAGCCTTCAACACTCAAAGGCTTCTGTGCTTGGGAGCTAGTTTGCATTAAACATGCCTCGCTGACCTTTAGCTCATCTCTTTAAGACAAGTGGATGCACTCACAGGACTATTCTGTTCAGGGTGTACGAGTCGTGCTATGGCACCAAGTCAAGCTTGCACACTCATACTCGATGCTAGGCGAAGCTTCGCACCTATCCTGCTCCTGAATACCTGAAGTCAGCAAGTTATGAGACTGACCTGGTTGCTACCCTCCAAGCAGAAATCGCAACACACCCAAGTGTGGCAGCGAGGGGCCGCAAAGGGCAATGCCAATGGCTGCGAGACCTCGGCACGAGATGCCGTGCCGTGCACACTCTGGTCCAGGGCTGCCAGAAAGAGTCTAGTTCAATTTTATCAATATCTACTTTATGGGTGTCACAACAACATGTGCCAGGTGTCCAGCCCTCATAGCACAGACTCTCTCCTCGGGAGTATGAATCTCCATCCTGAACGAAAACTTGCTCAGGGGCCTCGAAGGGTGAGCCAGGTAATGCCATCTGATGCCTTTCCGACGCAGCTGGAAGGAGTGTCTAGCATTTTTTCTCTTAAATGATCTCTATAGCATCGGGTTCACAGGCTTTGTCTATGTGTTGAAGACTCGATCTAAGCCTAAGAGTATAATGTTTGCATGCAGGCCTCCTCTCATCTCCCGATATCGTTGTCACAAGGTGCTTCACGACAGTGCTTAAGTACCCGTGTGCTCATCATGTGTTCAGGTGCCTTGCCCCGTCCAACCTTGACAGCAGATTTGCACGGTTTTGGATCGTCAAGGAAAACAGGACACACCCAGTCATTGTCTTTCACACATCGAGCCAAATCCTCCAGTTCTGATACAAAACCTGCTTGTCACATGCTGCTTGCGCGAATTCGGTATCTTTGGAACCTGCAAGCCGTTGTGCCTCTCTAAACACGCCGGCGCCTCTTGTAGACACCGATGCTGTGGCCCGGCTGGTGACTTAGCGCAACACAGCTCGCAGTCAAGCGGCACCTTCAGCCAGCTTGAATTGCAATTGAACACACAGTGCAGTGCAGGAGTACTACAGCTAGAAACGGTCTTGAGCCAGTCTCACGAAGGATTCTGGGACGGCCGCTGAACTACCGTACGCCGTAAATGCTAATCGAGATTCCAGTGCTGACCACCGGTCATCCAGATGCTGAAAAACTTGCACCTCAGCTGGCCCATACGAGGTCCCAGCGTTGAACAATAATTGTAAAGCAACCCCAAGAGTCTATGTGACTATGTGCCTTCCTGGGCACCCACCGTCGCCTCAGATAGAAGTGCAGGAATATGCTCTGCACCAGCATGGGCCTTCAAATGTGCATCGGTCTGGCTCGAAACTTTGCACTTTACACTTCATGATGCGCCCTTTACACTTCATGATGCGCCCGTATTGGAAAAGACCTCCGTGCATTGAACTGTGCTGCTTTCACTTTCGCCTTGATTGCATGCAAGATGCGGTCGCACTTTGCCTTGCAGTCCTGGAGCCCTGTCAGGGAGCGGGCTCAGATTGGGGGATGTGCACGGAGCTCAGATCTCGCCTTCCGAGGTGCCTTCGTAGGAGGAAACATCCTCAGCTTCTGAAGGCTTTGGTAGCACAGTGCCCGCAGCATCCGCAGCAAGGGCGACGGCATGAGAGCAGTAGCCATCGCACTTAGCGGGAAAATTGCGTGGTGGTGACGAACTGGATGCAAGCGTATTTTTGTATTTTCTTCTACCGAGCATGAAAATCGGCCGAACTTCTGGAAAGGTTTGGCCTCTGTTCCCGCCTTCAAAAAGGGACACAAAATGCGCGGTAAACGGTCACAAGGCGCGTTCATTATCATTGTGAGTCAAGAATAATCAAGACCTTACGGGATCAATGGTCCGAAAGCAAGAGACCCTCTTGTGCAACCAGGGCTCCTGGCAGAAGGCGTCACCTGAAGAAGCCTTGGCAACCACTGCAGGAATTCAACGACGATCCACGTTGTAACTATTCTAACTCATACAGATGACAAAAGACACGGGCTGCCTGGCATACAGGACTACAATCAATGTGCAAGCCTCCATTCTGGGCAATGCTGAATGCCCCTGCAAGAACGCCTACGACTGTCTGTCAGGAATTATATACCCGTTGCCTTGTAGGTAAAGCTTGTGTATGGTAGCCCAAACGGCGGATGCAAATGTCAGGTTCAGAGAAGGAAGCCCTGTTAAGGTAAACTGCATCAACATGATGCATGAGTGAAGGTTGATTGCAGCAAGGACGCGGCTGCAGCAAGTTTACTGTAATTCCTTCCGCTCTGCAAAACAACCTAGAAAGAAAGATCGTGGCGCTTGAGTGCAACTCAAAACGGGAACGCGGAGTTGCCAGCCAAGGCAGCAAAGGCGTGGCGTGGACGCCTCTAGTTCGCAAGGCTGAACAGCTGAGGTGGGCACAAGGGCATCGTAGGCTGAGAGGTCTTCACAGCTCCGTGGCCCCACAACCTTCATTTTGGGGCTTCGGGCATGAAGCCTGAAGAGCATCAGGAGTCGGGAGAGATTAGGACGATTAGGGGTAGATGCCTCTGCGGCTGAGTCTAAATCACAAGTAGTTTCATAGAGAACCAGGTGCTCTTAAGTACTTGATACATACAGACCTATGCACCCACGTGCATATTTTCGTGCTTGTCGGTTGGCGAATATTGAAACCGTGCAAGAGACAAGTCTAACATGGTTGTGTGCTTGTACACGGGGGCCAAAGCAACCAGATTCAATACAAGCAGCGAGCTAGCTTTAAGTCAGATAATTCGGATTCGATGCTTTTTGCGGATGCTTCTTGCTTCTGTGGACCTTGATCTGGAACTTCGGCACCCGCAGACCCGGGACCCATGAACTCTGTAGTTCTTGCACTGCATCTGCAAACCCCAACCCCTCTGAACTTAGCACGTGCCGTGGACAGTTCCACAGCACCAGGACATCAATACTAAGCTTCGGCGACATGCACATGCTAGCCGTGGCTCGACAAATGCATGTGCCACAGCTACAGCTGAAAATGGTAGACATCCCTGGCCAGCGCCCAAGGAGCTGTCCAGGACCACTTGAAAGTTGATGCCTCGCCACGGCTACTCTGCGCCGTACTGCATGGATGTGTACCGGCTTGCAAAGCATCGGTGGTGCAGCATAGAATACCAGCCCACAGCCGGAAGGCTCGCAACAGCCTACAGGTGGCGGCGTGCATGCAAGCTGCCTCAGTATATTTCAGCTTGGGGTGAACATTTAACGTGACATTCATTCACCTGTACAAAAGCCGTCAGGTCGGTTGGTAGGTTCATTGGCTAGCTTGCTCTTCACGGACATTCTAGCCACAGACTTCAGCATTCTAAGCAGTTGTGCAAACATGAATGAACTCTCAATCAAGCAGTGAGGCCTTGAGCTCGGAGCTGTCATCAGTCAGGAGGCAGCCACCATCCGGCCACCAAGAAAACTGTGCGCCTTTGGAAACGGTTTGCTACTGCTCTTCATGCTCATCCTGCTCATACTCCCATTCCTGCTCCTACTCCGACATAGTCTGGCTCCGAGTCGTGGTCGCAGTCGTTGTCGTTGTCGTTGCGGTTGTCTTTGTTGTTGCTGTCGTTGCCGTTGTCGTTGTGGTTGTGGTTGTCGTTGTGGTTTCGGTTGTGGTTGTGGTTCTTGTTGTTCTTGTTGTTGTTGTTGTTGCTGCTGTTGCTGCTGTTGCTGCTGTTGCTGCTGTGGCGGCTGCTGCTGCTGCTGCTGGTGCTGGTGCTGGTGCTGGTGCTGGTGCTGTTGCTGTTGCTGTTGCTATTGCTGTTGCTGTTGCTGTTGCTGTTGTTGTTGTTGCTGCTGTT